AAGAGACTTACTGAAAAAAGAGGGATTGCTATTTGTTTTTCGTACTGATCTGTGTTATCAGAAGTTTTTAAAATGAGAAGGAGATGGCTTCCTTATATAGCCGAAGGGTGGGGCTGAGGAAAGCAAAGCGTGCCCGGAATTCCGCAAAAGCAACGCGGAAAGTGAAGCGTGGCCAGAAAATTCGGAAAACGATGCCAAAAGCAAAGCGTGTCCGCACAACCCGCAGAGCGGGTCGGGTGATTAATAAGTCAGTTCTATTTAAAATATAACTGATTAATATCTTATTCCGACCCAAAAAACGCATCGTTTTTAAGTCATTCCCACGAGCCCACATTTGTTATTAAATAATGGTTCCAACACTAGTTCACCATCATCATGAAACCCAAATACTCTCCTCAAACAAAACGACGAATGCAAATCCCAAGTCTCAACACAAGAACAAAACGCTCATTTGAAACCCGTAATCTTACTCCGATGATTCTCATCGTTTATCATTCTCCAAACACTAGACTTTTTGAAATCCTTGAATACACTGAACAACATGTAGTTTCATTTCTCTTCTATATGAATGCATCCAGGCCAGTTACAAATGTATAGACAATCACCACGAAATCTGCTCGCGAGTAGCTTGTTACCTTGTTCACGGCTGAGATTCCAAGCACCGGAAACTAAATGAGAACCTAGAGATCGGAAAATCTTCCTTCGTTTCCTTATCGGAAGATCTCGTCCAGGTCTGATCTTCTCACCACTGGCTTCGATCTCTTCTTCTTGTTCGTGGACGGAATCTTCAGTGGGAGGAGCGGAGAGAGTATCGGTGTAGAGATCGTCGTAGAGAGACCAAAACGAAGACGTTTCTAAACCAGATCCGAATCAGCAGCGGCTGAAGATGAAGCGACGGAGGTGGCGGAGGGAGAAGGGAGGAGATCGGAGATGACGGTGGGGATTGCGGAGTAGCACGAACAGAGAGTCGGCGGCGAGGAAGTGATAACGATGATTCCACTCCAATAGTATAATGGACATTTTATCTTTTGGTTTATTTTGCCACATCTAAAACAATTTTTTAAAATAAAAACTTATTTATTTGTATTTATTAAATAGATATTTTAATTTTAATAAAAATATATTTATTCTTTTATATATATAAAGTAAAAAATTTTACGTGGCAGTCTCACATCGATTTGAAAGTAGTTGATTATAAGGGTACCCTCTTAAAAAAAGTCTTAATTATATGAAATGCCATAGAGAATTTCGGACTAAAAATAACCCCATTACGTCTGATTATTATTCTTTGGTTTGGGCCTGGTTTTTTGTGAAGATTTTGTTTTCTTTATTTTGGTTATTCGATTAGAAACCCTAGGTTTTTTCTATATATATATACATGTTTCTTCTCTTTCCCTTTGCATATCGTAGTTTTGCTTTTTCTATTATTATTTTAGATTTTCAAGGTGGATGAGTTTTTCCTTCTTCGTCGTCTAGGTATTGGATATATAATTTGTTCTTGGCTTGAAACCCTATCGCAGGTTTGGTCTGAACGTATGAATTGCTTCGGTCTGATGTTTTGAAGCATGACTTGGGATTTGAAACCATGGTGAAGAACATCGATTAAAGAACCACCTCGCAAAAGATCTGAACATGGTACATCTCTGCACTAATTTGTTTGGAGTGATTGGGTAGCAATAACTGCAAACAGTCCTCTTCAGAGTTTATAGAGATAATAGATTCAACGATCTATCACTAACTACGACACGTTGTTAGAGATTATTCATTGGATTCCAAAGGAGTGACCTTTGCATAAAGCCAAGGGTTTATAAAGTGTTTTCTACAAAACAAAAGAGCATAATTCTACATAATTTTTTTACCAAAAAAAAAAAAGAGAGCATAATTCTACATGAAAAAAAGGAATCTTCCCCATGAGGTTTACATCTGATACTAAACATCTCCATAATATTTTTTATTTTTAGGTAAAAACATTGGAGAGAATTGAAAAAAGCAAATTTTCATGGGTTCTCGAATGCAATCTTAGCCATAGATGGAGAAAACACCACTAGGGATTCAATTCTTGGAACGCATCAAAGGGTCAAAGCTCGTGACAATGCATATAAAACCATGGACGTGATCGTGACTTTTTAACCCACAATCTCCATACATAGGGTTTAAGTCGATCATTTTAAGGTTTGGATCCTCTGTTAAAACCGGACAAGAACAAAAGGTTGGACTTTGTTTAACGGCCCGAATGGAACGGTTTTGCTCAGTGAGATTGACGTTGCATTTCTCGCGGTTTGCACTTTTAGAATGTATTTCGCTGGAGATTTGGGAGATATGATATCTGTGAGTCCTGAATCTGGTTTGATTCAGATCACACCAAAATATAAAGAATCAGAAACAAAAAGTAATCAGAGCGAGAAAGCTAGATGAGATTTGTTAATCTGGAAAGAACGAGTTAACGAGTTTTCTGGTCCGCGAGATGAACTAGTTGGAGCAATGAAAAGTAACGTAAAAATGGCTAAGTAAAAAGAACAAGTTTATTGCGTATATTGCTAGAGAGTTTTTTTCCATCCCCTTCCTCCCTAGACTCATTTGGTATATATACTCATTACATAGTGCGAGAATCGCGTTCCCTCATTACAATCTTATTCAATTCCTTTAACTCCCTTTTGACTTAGACGTTACAAGATTTGAATGTATAATGGTCTTCATCTCTCCATCTCGCACCTCGCGGACCTCGCAGACTTCTCCCATCTAGAGCCCAATTATACCTGTCAACTCGTAGCCCATGTTCGGGACCTCGCAGGTAAGGCGCGGACTTGTTCTAGGCTTGGCTAGTTAATCGGTCCACTATGCGAGTTGGGCTCTTTCTAGTCCACTATGCGAGCTAGACTCTTTAGTGAAATTTGGCTATCTCTGGAACTGGAACCCGGGTTGCTAGGTCAAATCTCTTTATGATGGACCCGATGCCAACAGTTTGCCCCCAAGTTCTTCAAGCGGTAAATATTCTCTTTAGCTTGGAGAACTTTAAATCATTCAATGCGGGATGCGACACTTCCTTATTCACGACTTAGATCGGTAATCAACTCTCCCTGGGAAACATTTTCCGAGTTGCGAGTATAGAAAACTCGAGATGATTTCGCCCCAATGCGAGGTCTTGGCTTCTCATTTATGACGAGTACACAATCAAGTTGCTTTAATACAAGATACATTATTCCCGCCAACTCGCAATCAAATTTCTTTGGAAACTAAATGTTATCCATGTTACGAACATGGAAACTACAGACGATTCCATCCTTAACGTAAGGCGTGACACCTCTGTTTCCTTTATGCGAGATACGCGATCTCGGACTTTCCAAAGCTCCGCTTCAAGGATGATATCTATCGGGAAACCGTATTAAACTCCCGAGTTAAAAACGGAATCCCACATTGATTTCACCTTTCTATTTTAACTTGTGTCCTCGTTATATAAGAGTTTGCTAGCCAAGGCTTGACAGTTTACGGTTTTCGAGACAGTGCGTTTCCCGAGAAATTTTAGCAAGAAGAATAAGAAGATAAGCTTTCCCTTAATTTGTTTTGTGCCCACTCATTTCTCAAGAAGGTATTCTCACATTCTCTCATTCTCTCTCACGCCTCCTTCTTTTGTTTTGTTAGCTTTTTTTTGTTTTCTCTCAAATGTTCTTCTTAGATTTCTTCGAAAAAGTGCTTGATTCAATCCGTTTTTGTAAAAGAACAATTTTTTTTCGTGTTTGTGGCTTGAATTTTTGGATCTAATCATGCTTCTCACTCTACTTTTGATTGGTGTTCATCCTTGTTCTTGAATATTCTTCATGTTTTTTTTTTGAGAATTTATGTTTGATTGTTTTTAAAAAGAGGCAAATTCCTCTCCCTTAGATCCGTTGGCCCTTTTTTTTTTGCTTGCATCCACCTCTCACCTTGCTCGAATCGAGCATCCTTGTCCCACCATCTCGGCAATTCGTCATTGCGACATCGTGGGTCTCGCAACTCGGAGTCGAGACATTTCATCGCGGAAACAAATCAACGGACCATTCTTACTCATGGAGAGTTTCGGTCCTTTCCCCTCAAGTCGTATGGAGACCGAGGACTTGCTTTCCCTTCGTGCTCATTGCGGAATACCGGCAGAAATCGAGCTTGTTCTCCCCGCAGCCAGTGAATCTCCAGAACTCGTCAGACCCGAGTTTTGTTGTGGCTACGAAGTTTACTTCAAGGAGTGCGGGCTTTGTTTTCTGATCCCCGAGATTCTCACTCACTTGATGAACGAACTTGGTGTTGCGCTCCCTCAACTATGCCCTAATATCATTCGAGAAGTCGTCGTCTTGCAAACCTTAGCCGAGGAGCACGGGTTGCCGCTTGATATTCCCACTCTAGCTCGCGTTTGCATGATCCGCCAAAGCTCAGGTCACAAAGGAAATTTTTATTTCGCGGTGAAGGGGGAGCGTCGCGTGTTGTGCGATCGTCCTCCTAAAGACGAGAAGTGGCAAAAACGTTTCTTTTTCTTTTCTGTGAACGAGTTCTCTTATGGAGAACTTTCTTCTCTAGTCAAAACTACTTGGTCACCTCGCATTGGTACAACTAGGATTACGATTTTGGGTTTTCCCCATTGTTTTTAAATGCTAATGTTTGGTTATTTTCTGTGTTTTTTGCAGCACCTCTAGCGAAGATTCCGGATACAATCGAGGTTGACATTTTTCTAGATATTATGCGCCTTGGGAACACGTCCTGACCTTCATTTACTCGTTCCCGAATTTCTAAATCCGTAGCGCGGCTTCGAGCTTTCGGTCCGTATAATCCTAACTGCAAAGGTTAGGTTGCCTTGCTTAAGAACTTCTCTACTTGTTCGCATTTCTCATTACGTGATGTTGGCATACTTTTTTTTTTTACTTTGATCTCTTTTAAGAAATTTTTTATCTTTGTTGGGTAAACAACAAGATCTCGCATCTCGGGGACCTCGCATCTAGGGGACTTCGTGCCTCTAGAAAATATTTTATTTCCATGTTGCACTTTGTAAAACACCTAGATTTGCTTTCTCCACGATGCATGCTTGCTACTTAGTGTAATAATTTTTTTTTTTTTCCGTTGAGCTAGACATGTTCTCAACATAATGTTGTTCTTGTGTTTTTTGTAGGCTACCCATCTCGCCAATCAAGGAAAATGTCGCTGAGTTACCGTCAACAACGCAAGGCCAAGGAACTAGCTGCAACAACTAAACCAGCTGTTCAACCCGAGACCTTGGAAGATCGCGCTCAGCCGGAGATCTTGGAAGATCTCGCTCAACCGGAGACCTTGGAGGTTGTCCAACCCGCGGAGCAGCAGCCCATCCATGTTGGGTCCTCGAGGTCCTCTGAAAAAACTAACTCTTCAGTCCAGAGGAAATCTCCAGAGATTCCCCCTCTCACCGAGGATCCGCAACTTGCTGTGGTGACTATCCCTCCGCGAGTAGCCTCCACGGTTTCCGGCCTACCTGCAGCATCGTCCCCTCTTGCCTGGGCTCCCGGAAGTTCCCGTTCTCGGGCATCATCCTCAAGTGTTCCACCACGTTCGGGTGACGGTGATACTGTTCGTCTTTCCCAACTTGCTAAAGGTAGCAAGAGGAAAGCTCTTGACAGTGGATCCCGATCCCGTGGTGGATCAAAGAAATTGAGGAATTATTGGGACTTTGGGTATAACTCCAATTACTTAATCACTGAGAATCCTGCTTCCGCAGCTCACTTGTTTAGGCACTTCAGGAAATCGGGATGCTCACTCCCTCCGCTGAAAGACCTTATCCTGGAGGATCGTATCAACTTTGAGGAGTTCGCGTACTGCAACTCTCAGGTTCTTCATCGCTTTTTTCTTTTATTTACTTAGTTTTAAAATATGTCGTTTTTGACTTAGTTTCTTTTTTTTTGCTTGTTTTTACACAGCTTCTTGCGGCATTCAACAACACCGTTTCCGCTTATCAAACTCGCGTCCGAGCTGCTCCCACCTCGACTGATCTTACCGAGGCGCAGGCTACGATCACTACTCTCCAATCCGAGCTAGCAGGTTTACGTGATGAGGCGGCGAAGAATGTCGTAGCTCTCCACCTTAGTGATGAGTTTTTTACTCATTCTAGGTCGCTAGAGCGCAAACTCAAGGACGCCGAGACCTTTCGTGACGAGCATTGGGAAAAGCTCAACTTTGCGTGAGAAACCATCACCTTGCTGAATGAGACCGAGAAGTCGGCCAAGACTCAACTCGCAGAGGCAGAGAAGAAGTGCAAGGAGCTCGCTGACACCCGCGAAGTGGACTTAAAAGTCGCAGCATGTGAAGCCCAAAAAGATCTCGCTATCAAGTTCAAAGAGACGCTCGACTTGGTGAAGTCACATATAGCGGGGAAAGATGCAACTCTTGGACCTCTTGTCAAGGTTTCCGAGACAATGGCAAACATCGAGCTCCTCGAGGTCATCATCAAGGGCGAGATTACGGATTTTCAAGCCGAGCTAGATGTGGTCTCTCTTGACAAGGTATCCATCTTCTAAGTCACAACCTTTTTAACTCTCCACTTCCCCATTTCGCATATATGACTCCTTTTGATTGTTTGAGCAAGAAAAGTATGCGAAGGATCTCGCCGAAGCTGAGGTAAGTGTTCCTAAGCTCGACCTGTCTCAGATAGAGATTCTCACCTCTGACCTTTCTCCCGAGCTCGCCACTACCTCAGAACTGCCTTTTGATGAATTCGGCAACAATGCAGGTTCGCTCTTAGGCGTTATGCGTGTTGACGTTCCAGAAGGCGTCGAGGAGACTTGATTCCTCATCTCTGTCACCTTCCTTTAGTTTTACTTATTTCAATAACTTGGTGGATGTCACGTTTCCCACCTCTCTACCTTTTCGGATTATCGCGTGATGTTTTAATAACTCGGTGGATGTCATGTTTCCCACCTCTTGACCAAATTAAAACTTGATGCTTTTGGTAGTTATTGTGTTTCCACC